ATTGGGTTGTAGTATTATCGTACAACCTTATTTCGAGCTAATTCATTCACTTCAAGAGGCTAGCTTTTTAAGGGGCTTCTTGCTGACTGTCTGTAAAGGGCACAAACCTATATAAAACAGTTAAATGAACAGTATATAAATTGTTTTTCCACTGACTTTCAGTGCTGTCATAAATTCAAATATATTTTGCAGAAATCGTAAACAACAATATTCTTTCTTGTACACATTTTATAGAACATTACATCTTGATTAACTTATATATTTAAAGAGAGGTCACCTTTTGTTTCAAATAAAGTTTTTAATTGCCCAGTAACTTTTAACCCTATTGGCCGTTACACTTACATTCAAGATGTCCAAACTGCATTTGGTATACATTCTGTGTAAGGAAAAGTTAAACGTTACATATTGTAAGATGAAATAATCACATAGTGCTATTAATAGTTTGCAAAAGGTATTAATAGTCTTTTATACTTTACAGGCGACACTGATAACCTGATGGATACGATGTATCATAAATAAACATATCACGATCCTAAAACTCTCACAACTAGGGAGTTTTATTTAATCGAAAGATCTCCTTTTTCACGTATGAACGTTTGCCAGGATGTTATCTAGTAATAAAGGAGTACAAGAAAGGATCTTTACGTGCATATTTTCTGTAAAATATATTTGCAATCCTAAAAGCAGTGACATCATTGAGAAAAATACATGTCACTTTCGAAGTAGTATTTTACAGAGTTTGCACTTTGCAGATGCTCAGAAAACAGTCCGTTCAAAAGACAAAATCCCAATTTTACGGATATAGGTTGAAATTAGATTGCATAGTAGCCAATATCGAGACCCTACTGAAGTACTTAAATGGAATCGAAAAACCGTTTCCTAATATCGGGTAACATTTCATGATATAGACAATCTGTCGTGTAGTCCCGGCCAGGCAGTATGATAAAGCAAGATAAAGTCATACACAAAAAGGGAGAAATGAACGTTTGTGCGCATCCTTATGATTCCCTAAAACTACAACAGATTATTTAGTATAAAGAACAGTGTCAAAAGCAGTGGAATATTAAACCATGGCTTTTAGAGAAACCGAAAATATTATGCGTCAAAATTCTGAATAATATTGTGTATAATATTATCCAAAGAAGAAGACTGGTTGAGCAGCGGGAAAATGCATTTACTATTCTGAACTGTCGGACTCATGTAGGAGTCCTTTCTTAGCAATAGCGGCCAAAAAGAAAAAAAGCTACCTCCATTCTGCGCCTGTCTCTGATAATGGGTTTTAATGACAATCCGAAACTTCAGAACAAAAAAACTTCTTGGTCCAACGATCATATCGCCTTCTTAATTGACTTTTTTAAGCTTCATTAGGGTAACACTTCTTGTATTTAAACAAAAAAAGTTTTTGACAGCTTACATCAATAGTTTTATAAATTTTCTGTAAGAAAATTAATGCGTCAATCCATACAGCTTACCTTATAATATATTCATGCTTCATACGTAATGTACCTAAAATAATTGTGTTTTCGAAAACTCACCACTTAGTATATTTTAGCTGTTACTTTTGATAGATATGCTGCACAAAAAGACTACGACTCAAAACGAATGTTTACTCTTTGCAGCACAGAACGAATCGAATGACGTCTTTGACGTGAATATGTCTCCCTATCACAAGCAGACACAACCTGAAAGGATTGAAGAGTTTCAGTCGACGTAAGAAATGTGTATTACGAGGTTGAGGAAACCAACCTGAATTTCAACATATTGGACATTTAAATCCCTATCTATGTATATATAATTGGGCTGTATTTTTTGTAAAACTATTAAATACCAAGTACACAAACACTCCCAATCTTCCAGTTATTGTAAAAATTCAATGAACTGGCTGTTGTGAATTCGGACTTTAGACCAATTCAAATTCTAGCAACATTCATTAACGAAAATGTGTTATTTACTTTTCTCGATCCACCGAAATCAAATAGATTGGTTAGTGGTTAGGGTCATGTGCATTTTCCATGCACCTAACAAGTGTTCTTGTCTTCAGAAAATATGGCATACATGGAGTTTTGCGGCCTAAGGCGGACATTCTGAACTAAATAAATAGCGAGAGAGTAACCGTTTTGACGTGAAAACAGGCACCCCAGCCACATAGGGGACATTGTGCCGAATCTCAGGAACACTTCCTTTGCATAGAAGGTTAGGGTTTGAGATAAGATCATAACTAGTGTTATAACTAATACACTGGGGTGATGCAACTTTCTGGAATTCAGCTATGGAATGCCTGTATTATAAGAATTTTTTGTGATGCACTTATTTCACTGCCAGCATTGACACCTTGATTTAAACCTTCGTCATTTGGTGAGATTGTCTGGGTTTGTTTCGAAACTTCGCGCACTACCATTGTGTCCTCCATGGCTAAGGCGTGATTTTTTTCAAGGATACCGTTGTCAATTAGTATATTACGCGACTGCCAAAAGTCCAAAAGTGCGACTTGTATATTTTATTGAAGTTAACGCGAAGGGAAAAGAATTGAAAATAAATAAGGCTTTTTTAAATATGCAAAAACGCCAACACCCATTTCAGCAGTGTCCAAGAAAATCGGACTGCTTAATTGGTTTTCTTGCTAGCTCTACAGACAGCAGTAAACATTTGGCCTCTTTCTGTGTTCTACCACTTGTTTTCGTCTCTTTTCCTCCACTTCGCTTATAAACCTTACATATCATGAAAAAAATTCCTTGAGAAGACAATGTCGGTATTTTAAGCTATACCATTTAATATACAGCAGCTGTTTAACTTGAGGGATCTGTACAACCTACGTGCATTCTTTTCAATGATTTCGTGAAGCGCAATCGTGGAAATTTAAAAAATTTAAAAAAGTAGTAAAAGTGCGATTTCATATCGAAACGTCCGACGAAGGTATGACTTTAATCCTAGCAAAAACACCAGACCTAAGTAAATACGAAAGGAAAAAAAGATGAAATAGCAAACACAGGGACGCGGTGAAATTGCGTTTCCTGGCTTATTTGTCGTCCACAGCCAAGTTCGGCCTGTGTATCCTCTGGATTTTAACCCCCAAACGACTTCTTATTATCCAGCGGGTGAAGGAATTAAGAATGCGGTAGGGGGACAATAAAAATCTCCTATTATTTAGAACGAATTCAAGCGTTTGTCATTTGCAGCCTTATTTACATTGTGTCTGCTGTGCGTCTCCGAAGTATTTGACAGGCTTACTAGTTGTTCCGTAGGTACACGTTTGTTATCTTTCAAAGTTTCAAACTCTAATAATGCAAGAAGGAGACACCGGCGTGTTCGACGGCAGTCTTAAATTTTTCTTGTTTGGCTAGACAACTGATTCTACACTAGTCTAGTCTGAAAATCCATTTACAACTAAGTGTTCATTCAAGAGCAGAACAATTACAATATTGCGAGTCCTGCAAGCAACATGCCTAAGTTTGCAAATGTTTGATTATTTCTCCCATACCAGCGAGAACGCATTTACAAAAACTTACAAATAATAATTAGCAGCATTAGGCATATTATGAACTTAAAAGAACTATAAGAACTACTAAGTTTTTGTTAAGAAAAATAAATTTTCTCCATAATCCCCAGGTTCTTTACACGTAAAAAGAGCTATAAAATAGAAAAATAAACCTAAATATTTTGGTAGGTATAAAACTTAAAGCAACCA